CCAGGGCACACTGCTGGCTCATGGTTAACCTGTCATCCACCAGGACACCCAGGTCCCTCTCCACAGAGCTGCTCTCCAGCAGGTCCGCCCCAGCCTGTACTGGTGCCTGGGGTTGTTCCTCCCCAGGTGCAGGACCCTGCATTTGCTCTTGTTGAACCTCATGAGGTTCCTCTTTGCCCAACTCTCCAGCTTGTCCAGGTCACACTGAATGGCAGCACAGCATTCCGGTGTATCTACCAAATAATTCCTAATAGTTCCTAATCCAATTAACTAGAACGTAACTAATTTTAATCAGGCCAACTGTCCTAACTGCTTATTTGCAAGGAGTGGAGGGGGAAGGAAAAATGGAGGCATGTTTCATTAAAGCCTCATGCTGATTGCCCTCTTCAAGGCATGTTAAAATCCTGCAGCAGTACTTGAAAGGGCAGCCCCTGGCCAGGCTGCTTCGCAGAGAGCCACGCAGGCGCTCGGTGCGACCACGGGATGGGTGGGCAGGCAGTGGGGCAGCACCCCATGCCATGGCACCTGCTGCCAGGGGCACCTGGCCCAGGTAACTGCCTACAGCCGCGCAGAGCTTCCAGGTGAGCTCCATCTGAAATCCTGCTTGAACAAACAGAACCTGTTTGCAGTAGCCTAGAAGCCGAGCCATAATTACCTTTGCATCTCACAGAGGGAGCACTACCTTTTGGTTAACCTACACCAAACCAACCTGCTGGTCTGAGGCTCGGAACCCCGAAGGCGATAGCACCACACTGACCTCAACTTCCTAGATTCCCCCCAGGAAGAGTGGGGGAACACTGGAACAGGCTGCCCAGCGAGGTGGGAAATCAGCAGGACAAGAGGCCAACAGCCTGGCCTGGCTTTGAGATGAGTTGTGCCACGAGCAAGGGTTGGACCAGGCAGCCCCCAGAGCTCCCACCCAACCTAACCTCTTCTATTCCAAGAGAGCTGAACTTAACCATAGTGAGGACTGAAGCTTTGGGAATGTCAGCCAGTTCCTTGACAGTCCTCCTCAGAGTAAGCAGAGCATTTCTACCCTTTTTCACGACGGCCAGGAGAAAGGCAGGAAAGCAGGGGACCTCGAGCTTGGGTTCAACTAAGTCTCCCAGTAGCTAAATCCTGTTCTTGTGCCAGTCAAGCCCCGTCAAGGGTATGATGCACCGACTGCGTACACGCGTGTGGATGCGTCTGTGGTGGGACAAGGACAAACTCTAGTCAAGAGTCAGAAACTCCATCTGCTGAAAAGAGTGTAGAAGGTTAATAAAATCTGGCTGCAGTCCCATCTCCACCTCTTTCCTTGGTGGATGAGCTGCCTCAGGTTGCCAGCACGTTTTCTGCCAGGTGAAACCATACACAGACCGACCAGGTGAGAAGCTAGCAGGCATGGTGGCTACCCCTGAGCTCAGCGGGCTGTTTGTCCTTCCCCACCCGCAGCGAGGGCTCTGTGCTCTCAGAGCTGAGCAGGCTTTCCTCCGAAGTCAGGAGAAGACAACACAGAGGAGATGCTCTATATATTGACGATACCAGTGTGCAGGACAGCTTAGATCTGCTGCTCTGGGCCCAGGGCTATGGGCTGGATTTCCACGTCTGCTCCCCAAGGTTTTAACCCCAGGGGCACTTGAGCATAAAACACCAGATTTCTGGAGCACAGACAAACGTCAGACTTCTTCCACAGAAAATTATGCTAACTTGTGCTAAACACTTCTCTTTCTTCCTCTTTCTGGCTTCACAAATTGGGAGTTTGTTTCTGTGCGGTGGCTCATGCTCCACAGGGAGGACAGACAGACAGTGTCCTCAGCCAGCTCCAGAGCTCAGGAGCGCAGCTGCGAGTCTCCTCATGCTCTGGAGACCCCCAAGCCTTGTCCCTCTCCACAGCTGGCAGGCAGCCCACGGAACGGGGGCGCGGGAGCCTGCGGCACAGCCCGAAGGAAAGCCACGTCTGTGCTGGACACGGCACCAGCCGCGTGCATTAGGCCAGGCATTTCAGAAAGGGCTGAGGATTAGTTTTATATGAACAGCAGGTGAGTTGTGGCACGGCTAAAAAACCAAACAAGAGGACAAAACCACTTCTGCATCTGGTCCTTGGCTACTGGGGGCAGAACCCCGACACTCAAAGGACTTGCGTTAGGAGCCGGCCTCATGGCTGGTTTTTCTCACCCCAAGCCAAATACAGAACGCAGTAACTTCAAAGGGAGTGTGTTAAGTAGGTAACATCATCAAGGAAGAAGCAGAACCTGAGCTGTAAGGTCGAGGTTTGCTGAGCTGTCAGTCCTCCGGGTGACTCCTCACCCCAGACTGGCACTGCCCTCCTTGCATCTCCAAGTGCTGGGAAGTCAGGACCGTGCTGAAGCACTTCCGAGCGCCTCGGTATTAAAAGCTCTCCAGGTCCAGAGCCTTACCAGTGTGTGAACTATTCAGGGAAAGAAAAACAAACCCAAACCCCACCCACAACAACCCCACCACACCCACACAACAGAACCCACCCCCAACACAACACGTAGTGTAAATATCATTAATATATCCTGGGAGAAGAGCGAAAAGCTTTTTTCAACCACAAATCCATAGACCCCACTGTCCATTCGCAGTAGAAATTTAGACACACAAACCTTTGATTCGGTGTAAAAGGAAATGGCTTTCTTCTACAAAAATGGCTGAATTCGCCCTGAATAAAGGACATTCCTGGGGAATACAAACCCCTCAAGAAGAGCTCCTTTAAGCTACAAAAGGGTCCAAACTGTATGTATTCTAGAGCAGAAACTACACAAAATCAAAACGGGAGGGAAGCTTTCTCTGCGGCACTTTGCTGTATCTGGGTGGTATTTCTCCAGCCCATTTTGAAAAACCCCTCCACCTTACAACCACCAAGCCTGAAGTCTTTAACTTCAGGAATGCTGCTGATTTTTAAAAGCTGCTGTGCAGTTTTCAGCTCACGGGCAGCAGTTCTCCTTCAAGAAGAGCTCGAGACCACCCTTACCACGGGCAGGAGGAGGAAGAGGAGTAGATCCCTGCAGAGAGAAGGGCTTCAAACAGGAACCTGCCCTGCAGCAGAGTTGCAGCCTGCATTGAGGAGACAGGTATTTTGCTACTCATCTAGGTTTTTTTTTCTTCTTCTTTTTTTCCAGCTGATAGCATGTATGGACAAGGTATCTTACAAGTCCCAGTCTAGCCTCTAGCTCTAGGTGCTTTCAGAGGACTTATTTTTATGAGAGTGGGAGCTACCTTCTTCCTACATTGAATATTTCTGATATCATTCAGTACTGTAGACGCCCAAGAGGCCCTTCTGCTTGTAGTTAACATGGAGCCATCATAATCTTCATCAAGGAGAGAGGAACACAATGCCTTGTCTTCCCCATCAGCAGGGATGGGGAAAACCTCTTTTTCCTTTGGGAAACCTACGCAGAGTTGCTTGTTGACAGGCAACTATCAAAAGCAGAATTTCAAGTTAACAGGCACCACATAGAGCAAGTTCTGCCAGGTTTCTCTGAAGGCAGTTCCTCAATTAGCATTTTACTTGGGCTGCCTGAGGAGGAAAACTACCCAGCTCACACTTGAAAAGACACTAAACCAGAAAGATTTATTAAAGCAGTCTTTTGTCACAGCCATATCATTTGCAAATAAGTGAAAAACCTGATCGTTACCTCTCTTACATGGGCAGAAACCTTCAGAAGGGGGCTGCAGAGGAATCGCTCCTTCCCTAGGAGCTTCAAGTAACTGCAAAACAAGGTTAAGTATTGCCCAGCCCCTGCCTAGACCTATCTGTGAGAAGCCCTCATCACCAGCCAGCTGGAGCAGGAGAGGCCCCGGATCACATTTCCTTAGCACCTGAACGCGTTCAGCCTCCCCTACATTGCCTCACCG